ACATATATTGCAATTTAGAATTTGTAGGAAAGTTGCTAAAGTTCAAAACTGGAAGAGGCTGACAATTGACAGGTGTTACTAAAATCTTGATGAAAAGCAGGCAAAAAGTAATATTGCCCTTGGGAAATTAATGGTATTAAGTGATAACATATGCTTGTCTGCATTTATTTCTCAATAGATCTGTCTTTGTTAAGGAAAGTCATTGATTTATTATGTATCAACATCCTTGTCATGATTCGTTATAACCTATTAATTTCTCCTCCCATTTTATGTTCTTGCTTACAAATTATAACTAAAGTTAGAAAACTTGGTTTGCAGCCAGCTTAGAGAATTTTGACCTTCGGGAATTTAGAACTATGGAGCCTGCAGCTCTCAGCACTGAACCATCCAATCATGCTTTGTTTTTTGTTTTTGTCTTTTGCTGAGCTATTCTTCCTGATTGGTTATCAATCCTGCTTTACCTGTTTTGTTTTGTTTTGTTTTTGTATTTTAAAATGCCAGGCACAACTTTAAGGACCTCTAGATCAACAATTAGATGAAATAGTAATATAGCTACTACCAGTGTGAATAGTAATCTACTCTGATTCTATCTTTAGGAATAAATTTGGATAATCAACCTAATTAATAATTATTATGTAATTAATTAATTAAATCATACACATATAGTATCAGTTATGAGTGGTGCAGTGGCCTAGAGGTGAAGCTCTCACCTCACAATCAGGAGGCTGTGAGTTCGATCCTAGGAAGCGGCAGGTATATCTCTTTCTGGGCACAATGAGTAAATGTCAGTTGCGAACTCTGCATTTGCGACAGGAAAGGCATCCGGCCAGAAAACACTCAGTTCCACTCAGTTGCCCTGACTCCACCCCACAAAGGATATGTATGTATGTATGTATGTATGTATGTACACACACACACACACACAAAATCAATTGATAATGTGTATTATGCATTGTACGTTATCCATTATTCCATTAATAAATAAAATTAATTGATAATTCTAATTACATCACTTCCACTGCAATTAAGGATTTCAGAGCAGGGCCCCATCCTTTTGAGCACCAGGGACTGGTTCCATGGAAAAAAAGGTTCCATGCTGCCTGTATCCCACAGATGGGACTTTTCTTCTTTCCACAGCCTGGTTGCTGACATGCTAGGGACCGGTGCCGTCCATGGACCAGAGTTTGGGAACCAAACCAATGCTTTCTCCTTGGTTGTTGTTGTTTTGGCATAGTTATATATTCTGCTGGTAGCGCTGTTTTTATCTATTGCAAACCACTCTGATCTTTTGAAGTTGGGTGGTGTAGAAATGTAATGAAAAATAAATATCCACAGATGTGTTCAGATAAATCTCCCAGAGATAGATTGCCAATAGTCACATATGTGATTTGCTAGGAATCCCTCTGAGAAACCAAATTGACAAGGATTGATCTAGATCATTATGTCTGTTAAGAAGGACCAAATCATGCCAATGTTTAGGCACCAAAGTGTTTTTTGTGTGTGCAAAAAGCTTTCAAATTAGCAGATGAAAATCATTAGTTTGTTTAAGAGCATTCAGTCATGGGGATTAGGAACTGAAAGACACAAAGGCAAATTATTCTGTCATTTATTTATGTAGAGCAGTGTTTATGCAAAATGCTACGAGTCCTTTAACTAATTTCCAAGAAGTTAACATTTTCAATTTCTTTTTCTTCTGGCTGGATCATGACAAGCAGAAAATCAATGGGTCACATGTTCACCAGCAAACAAAAACCTGCTGCCCTGTATTGCATATATATTGGTTAATTGGAAATTGGCTGGTTACTTTGAGTTAGTTGTTCTTATAGTTCAAACTTCCTCACAGACAGGAGTGTCGAAAGTCAACATGGTTGCTATTGCATATTCAATACAAGTAAAAAAGGAGAAAGGTCTTTGATTGTATTGTTTTAGATGCCATATTGTTTTTCTTGACTCTTCCTGCAGATACTTCTTTAGTTCTCAAAGTTCCATTCAATTATGTCCCAAAGGTGCTTTTTCCAGAGCTCTGAATAGCTGAATTAGCTTCTTAGATGAGAAGCAAAATGTCTTCAAAGAAAAACCAGAAAGTCCAGTTGCTTCCTGAAAAAGCATCTTTGGGACAGCCACGACCTGGATGACTGAGAATCTCCATATATATTTTCATTCAACCAAAATATATGTCACAAATTTAAAATTGGCAAGGCCCTCATCTTTCTTTTTTGCAACCCCCTATATGAATGTTCCTAAGATCTCTAAAGAAATGCATATACAATAAAAAACATGATGCAGATATTCAACTTTTACCCATTTCTTAACTAAATAAGCACAAGATACTCACCTTTCTTTCCAATATCTTTGAATGTATCATGAAAGCATATTTTTCAAACCAAAGAGAGGGGAAAGTAGAAGAGAATCTTTTTTTCTGTAAAGTGCTACTTTAAACTAGATAGTTGTTAGATATGTACGATAGAACTCTACCTGTTTATACATATAATTCTCTCTTACTTAAACAACAATTTCTTTCCACTTCAGCATCCCCAGTCCCATATTTTACAGGGTACCTTTCCTTGGTTTATGGGAAAACCATATTTCACTTAGAATGGATGGTAGGCTTAGTTAAAGAGTTAAATGATGAATAACATGGCCAGGCACACATGTGGATTAACCAGGCAGTTTAGCTTAATAAGTAATTCAAGTACTTATTTCTTCTTTGCAAATTGGCTTGTGGTTGATTTTGAAAACCCTGAGTAAATGGCTGACCCACAACAGACAAAATCCCCTTAATAGCTGGCCTCTGAAAATACGAACATTGATAGAACATTAAATCTGAAGGCCGAGGGATGGGTGGAAAAAGGATTGATAACCTCTGAAATGAATCCTGTAAATTTTCCCACACTGACCTTTGAAATTAATAAAATCCGTTCCATGACGTTTTGTTGGAGGTAGCTTTTTGAAGGCAATCAAACAGGTACTTTTATTTCAAATTTTGGATAGGATTGGCTATTCAAAATCAGTTTTGATGCTCAAAATAACTTCTGTTCATGTGCCTTTCGATCATGTTGAAGTGCCTGCTTTTCCACTTCAGTTTGAGGCATCAAGATTGAATGACTTGGCGTTCTGAGTTGAGGCACCATCTTAAATTTAGATTGCCAGAAGCTTCCATTTATTTATTTTATTTATTGAATAAATTTATATAAGCTTATGTTTTAATATTTAACAAACTTTATTAAACAAATTATAAAATTAAAAAACAATTTAAAAACATACTTCCATTCTTTGCAGCATATATAGTAGTGTCCACTCACTTTGACATATTCTTAAGTATATAGAATATTACTAAATAGTATTACAATTATTTTACATTTGATTTATGTCATATTTTCATATATTTACATGGTTATTTACATATTTATACATAGTTATGCCTATTCATACCAAATTCTTTCATCACACCATAACCTTTCATTTCAACTCCCTATTTTGTGTCTACCTTGCGGCCAATTATACCATAAATTCCAAATTTCATAATACTCTGTCTCTTCTCTCTCCTTCATTTCTATTGAAAGCCTACCACTTCTGAACACTTTAAAAACTTTTTTATCATAATATCAGAGGGAATTCTGTCACTTTTCCAATTCTAGGTAAAGGCTATTCTTGCTGCAGTTATTATATATAAAATAATATATTGGAGTTTCTTACTAATTTTATCTCTTAATAAAATTATTACCCAATAGGAATGTCTCTGGTCTCAATTCAATTTTCTGTTTTGTAATTTCCTCCAGCCATTTCCTAATTTTAAACCAATAATTTTTAGCTTGAGGGCATGTCCACCACATAGGGAAATAGGTTCCCTGTTTATAATTAAATGTATATAAGCTTATAAGTGCTATGTGCTTAGAGTTCAAAGCATTGTTAGAGACCCCACAATTTTACTTTATGCTCTGTTTCTGTGACTCCCCTCTGGGAGGAGGTTTTCAAATATTTCTAGCAGGACTTCCAGACTCCGTAACAGCTTTGTTCCCTATGCCATCCATCTGGGTAAACTCACAAGATTCATTTTTCTTGCCATGTACATGTATACATCCAAATTAGACTGTGTTCTTTCTCTGTGACATATAATATATGTGGGTATATGCATAATTTTGTATTTATTTATTTAGCCATGTTTGTGTAGTGTATATTAGAGGTGGTGACCCTTTGAGAGCTGTATGCAATGAAATTTCAATTTAGTGTACATTCAAAGTGACAATAAAGTTATTCTTAGTCAAAGTCTAAGTATGTAGCCATTCAGTTCAAATATAGGTTACTCTGGGTGGCATATTACAACAACGACTGTGGTGGGATTCAAAAAAAATTACTACCAGTTCTTGTGGGCATGGCTTGGTGGGCATGGCAGGGGAAGGATACTGTAAAATCTCCATCCCCACCCTACTCCAGGGGAAGTATACTGAAAAATCCCCATTCCCTCCCCACCCCACTAACCTGCTTTCCAGCTCTGTTCTCCTGTGCAGAGCAACAAAAGAAGACCCAGCTGATCAGCTGGGACTCAGAAGGCAGAGAATAGATGGGGGACGGGGCCAGTCAGAGGTGGTATTTGCTGGTTCTCTGAACTACTCAAAATTTCCACTACCGGTTCTCCAGAACTGGTCAGAACCTGCTGAATACCACCTTTGAGCAATGACTCAAATGGTAAGGCTATAAAGTGTATCTCTGGGTATGTGTGTGGTGCTACTAGAGCCATACTACATCTTGGCAGGTATACGTAGCATACTGATAAAACCTGACCTAAAGGACCTTCTAAGTATTTGAGAACTCTAGATACATGTACATTCATATCATTTGAAGTTTGAGAAGAGAATGACTTTTTTCTAAAGTGGATCACTAACACTTCAAAGATTTATACTGAACAAGATTCACAACTCACAGCTCTGAGGAGGAGCTTTCACTAGTAACCTCTGAAGGAAATGTTCCTTTTTGTCTTCATAGAGGGTGTCGATTATGGGCCGATGTTTATTCAAGAACCTGACCATGTGATCTTTCCCATGGACTCAGAGGAGAAGAAAGTGTCTCTCAATTGTCAAGCCAGAGGAAATCCTGCCCCAACGTACAGGTAGCAAACATGTTTTAGCAATGGAGCTGAGCTGCCTATTTTGATTCCGAGTCAATGTACAGTAGTCCTCGACTTACAACCTTTCGTTTAGTGGCCATTCGAAGTTACAACGGCCCTGAAAAAAAATTAACCTATGACCATTTTTCACACTTACGGCCATTGAAGCATCCCATTGAAGCATCATGCAATCAAAATTCAGATGTGTGGCAACTGTCTTGTGTTTAAGATGTTGCAGTATCCCAAGGTGATGTGATCACCTTTTGCGACTTTCTGACCAGTGACGTTCATGGGGGAAGCCAAATTCACTTTACAACTGCGTTACTAACATAACCACTGCAGTGATTCACTCAACAGTTGTGGCAAGAAAGGTCATAAAATGGGGCAAAGCTCACTTAACAACTGTCTAGCTTAACCATGGAAATTTTGGGCTCAGTTGTGGTCACAAGTCGAGGATTACCTGTATTCTGGTTTTTTAGCTAAAATCTATTCCATTGTTATTTTAAAAGATTCAGTTATAAATATCTTAATCTATTTATTTATGTACCTGTCTTTTTTCTAAACATATGCATTTGGCAAACTGAAGCAATTGTCGATATATGTATCCTTACACAAAGCATTGTTTTCCCTAATGTCCATTTTTGTGCAGACTTTCCCCAATGGTGCTAATTTTTGTCTGCATTTTTAAGAATGTTACTCCAGTTTGAGTATTGGTTCAGACTTTGAAAATTGGATCAGTTCTTATTCTTGTTAGGTTTTTTTGCTCCAAACCTAACATGCTTAATGGGTCCTTTCATCCTGCTTCCACTATTTATTATGTCCAGTTTGATAATGAAAATTCCAAATTTGCTATAGATTTTTTTTTTATTTCATTTATTTGTCTGCTAGAAAGACTTGAATTAAGAACCCTCTATGTAAAGTCAAGTGCATTTTATATTTTTTTTAAGTGCAGGTTAATAATATGAAATTCACCTTCATCATTTGTTGGGGAAGATGGAATCTTTTTTTTTTTAATCTGGAGCATTATATCTCAGATAAATAATTTGCAGGGTAATCAACTCATAGATCTGCTGTTCAAATTTTGACATTTATTTGTTAGTTTGTTTTGTTTCTATATTGCCTTATTCCCTTGGGACTCCTGACAGTTTACAAGAGACCGTGACACAATGAAAGCATTCAATAAAATGAAATTTTAATTAGCAAATTTAAATTATATTATTAAAAATTCCTGAATTATTATTTTAACCTTTAAAAATTCTTCCACACAAATCTGTTTTTCAGGATTTCTTAAATCTCATGAAGAGAGAAGAAGTGATACAAGTTTCTTACAGAAAAGTATTCCAGAGTGTAGTGCTGTAACTAAAAAGGAACTTATTTCTAATTCTTCCCTGAAGCTAACATAGCAGGGGAACTGTCAGTAGACCTACATATTATTTTTTTTTTATTTATTCATTTAAACATTTATGTTGCCAACCCTCTTTTAGCCTATCCTGTACAGTACCTAATCAAATGATGTACATACTGGACTGGCAGTTCTCCCTAACATAAATGGAATTCCAGGCATCTGAGTCTCCAACCATATAGAGTTTTTTAGTCAAATATACCACATTTTCAATTTTCAAGCATATAGTTAAAAGCTACACCTTTTATGTGCAGGGGTTTTTTTTGCACAAGTTTTAGGTGCAAAAAGCAGTTCTCATCCACCAGTAAGTGGGCTGTTGTATTTTGTACAAAATAATAACAACAGTGGTTCTGTGTAAAGAGCATTGCAACCATTTGCACAAGAGTTGATAGGGTTGCAGGTTACTGGTGCTAGAGTAAGGCTGTGATTGGTGTACCAGCTAGATGAGAAAAACCTCTATTACCTGTAGATTCAAAGTAGACAAGAGACTAATAGACATTACCCATAGACTCATTACCCATTATTCATTACTTTACTCATAGACACTACCCATGGACTCGAATTAGGCACGAGGCTAACCTGAGGTTGCAGTCCTGCTCCTTTAAGGAGATTGCTGTCCCACCCAAAGTCACCACTGGAGCAGAAAAATTAAATCCTGTCTGGACTTTCCAACAACAAGGGCTTGCTAGAATTCAATTTTGGCTTGTTTTCATTTATATCAATTCCTACAATTTTTGGATATCTGGTCAAGATTTCCACTATGTACCTGGCTTGGCTTATGTTGAGGTGGTCTTCTATGTAGACTTTTATGTTATGTTATGTTATTACTTTTCAGGATATAATTTACATTATAGATTATTGAACATGTACCTTATGCTAAAAGCATTGTATGCAAAGTGTGATCAATATGTGGATGTTTCAAAAAGATTCAGCAGCTGTCATTTACCTTCCTAGTTTATTCCTTGAGCACCCCTTGAGCATTCTCAATAATTTTACCTATTAACATTCTGCATTTGGCAATTACAATTTCTGTAATTGCAAAAGCTATATCAAGTTTGGCATGGTATGGTGAGAGCTGGCCTTCAAAAACAGGCAATGCCAGGATCCAAGGGATAAAATTAGTGCTGTAAACTTGTGGAAGACTTAAAATGTCAAATTCTAGGGATGTGCAAATATAGAAGAAAGAATCTGGGAGTGGTGTGAAAAGGGGGAATTAGCTTAGAATCCCTGTGTAGCCACAAGAGAAGTATGTTCAACACCTTCCCCCTTGAGTGCTATTGATCCTCATCTAACTCCAAGCATGTGCCAACCATTAGTTGAGAAGATTCCTAGGGATAGATTTTTAGCAATAAATCAGCATTTTTAATAAATCACACATGGAGCTGGTCTTTCACTCCTGACAATACACTTCAGAAATGGAAGTGGTGGTGAACCTATGGCACATGTGCCACAGGTAGCAGACAGAGCCCACCCTGTAGGCATGCATGCCATCAACCCAGCTCAGCTCCACCGTGTATGCCTGTGCACCTTCTGCCGGCCAGCTGGCCTTTAGGTCTCTACTGCGCATGTAGGGGGTGTGCATGCATTGCATGCATTCAGGGGGTGCACACATGTGTGAGGCGCATTGCATGTGGGAGTGCACACATGTGTGGGGGCATGCATGCAAGGACACACATGTGTGGAGGCATGCCTTGCATTTTAGGTATGTGCACATTTTGGGCACTCAAGGGCCAAAAGGTTTGCCATCACTGATTTAGAAGATGTCTTTCCAAATTTACATGATTGCAATCACAACACCTTCCTATTATTCACCTAAGTAGCCTGACACTTTTCAGGTATTGTACACAAAGAGTAAAAGTTGGCATATAAATGTAATAAAAAAAAAAAAAACAGGTACCACTGCTTCAAGATCTGCATTACCAATAATGAAAGAATGCTAAGGAATCCCAAAGAAGATTGAAATCGGTCAATAGGATTGCCAAATAAATAATCAAACGGAGCTTCAAGAGGCAGGATGAATTGTAATTATGGTACATAATTATGGCACTAGAGACAAGTGATTAAATTTATTTTCATGTTTTCCCAGTGTAATTAATCAACAAAGTTCTGATAGCCAAACAGAGAAACAAACACTTAGATGTGGTTTCTGAATATAAGATGGATAAGAAACAAAGAAAGAATATCAGAATTAAGATAAAATTACATAGGCTGACTGAATGTACAAGAGAATGGTGGAATGCAGGGGTGGGATCCGACAAGGTTAACTACCAGTTCGGTCATTTACGAGGTTCGGTGATTTACGATGTGCTTCCCTGCACGCTGCCAATCGTCATCAGCAGGCTGCATGCAGAGAAGCAGCCTTTCAAAAAACCCTGCTTTTCCCTGCTTTTTTAACTGCAGCTGTGCCTCGCATGGCAGCAGAAGTTGAAAAATCAGGAAATAAAGATCAGGTAAGAGCCCGGGGTGGGCGTGTAGGCAAAAACATCAGCGGACATAGAACCAGTTCTATGTCTGCTGCTCTTCAGAGCTACCGGTTCTACAGAGGTGGACAGAACCGGTAGAAACGCACCCCTGGTTGAACGTGTAATCATGCTAAACTTTCATACTTTTCACAATATTACACACAGTTTGCATCTCAGAAATATGGACAGAGTTGGGTACACCAGGAGAAAATACATTAGAAAATGTGTATTGGAAATAAAAATACAAAATGTTTTCTAAAAAAATGTATTCTAGAAAAAACCCATGCATCTGAATCTTTTGCATAGGAATGTTATGCACATTTCTAAACTGAAAGTCAAATAAAAGTGACCCCATTAATTGCATCAAATTTTCCTTTCAGCTGTCTATTTCTTCTTGAAACTTATTAAACTATTTACTTTTCTTCCTTTCCAAGGTGGCTCCAGAATGGAACCGAGTTAGACATAGAAAGTGATTACCGCTACAGTGTAATAGAAGGAAGCCTTATTATCAACAATCCCAGTGAATTAAAAGATGCTGGGCAATACCAGTGTTTTACCACCAATGTCTATGGAAGCATTTTGAGCAGGGAAGCAACACTTCAATTTGCATGTAAGTAAGAATTTTGTTATCCCACTTTTTTACCATTTGGATAGAGATAATGACGTCACATTGAAACAATGTGGAAAAAAAAGTCTAATTGCATCATGAAGAACCAGACAATTATATTCATATCTACGAATGTGGGAATTTGTTCTATACAGGTGGTCCTCAACTTATAACCATTCCTTTAGCAATCTTACAGCACTGAAAAAAAAATGACTATATTTCATACTTACGACCATTGCTGCATCCCCGTAGTCCCCATAGTCATGTGATCAAAATCCAGACGTTTGGCAACTGGCTTGTATTTTTGATGGTTGCAATGTCCTGGTATCATATGTTCAGCTTTTGTGACCTTCTGACAAGCAAAGTCAATGGGGAAAAGAAATTCACTTAAAAGCCATATTCAGCTACACTGATTCACTTAATAATGGTGGCAAGAAAGGTTAACAACTCACTTAACAACTGTCTTGCTTAGCAACTGAAACTTTAATCTGAATTGTGATAGAATAGAATAGAATAGAATAGAATAGAATAGAATAGAATAGAATAGAATAGAATAGCTTTATTGGCCAAGTATGATTGGACACACAAGGAATTTATCTTAGTGCAAATACTCTCAGTGTACATAAAAGAAAAGATACATGAGTCAAGAATCATAAGGTGCAACACTTAATAATAGTCATAGCGTACAATAAGCAATCAAATCATATTAGGAAACAGTCAATATAAATTGTTAGGATACAACTGACAAGGTTACAGTCATACAGTCATAAGTGGGAGGAGATGAGTGAAAGGAAGGATGGGAGGATTAATAATAATAGTAATGCAGACTTAGTAAATAGTTGCACAGTATTGAGGGAATTATTTCTTTAGCAGAGTGATGGCATTCAGGGAAAAATATCCTTGTGTCTAGTTATTCTGGTGTGCAGTGCTCCATAGTGTTGGTTTGAGGGTGGGAGTTGAAACAATTGTTTCTTTGGAATGAACTTTCTTGCCAATTTAGCAAGCACATTCAATTACAACTGATCCTTTCATAATTTGGATAAATCCAATAATACTGGTGGAGTATTGCATGTATGTATTGTTATAGAACAGGTATGCCAAACTCAAGGCCTGTGGGCCAGATCCAGCCCCAGGGTTCTTAGATCTGGCCCTCAGGGCTGCCCTGGGAACAGCAAAGGACTGCCTCATGATGCCTCTGCCAGTGAAAATGGAGCTTGGGGCTGCATGTGCCCCCTGGCCCTATTTTTGGCTGTGATGGCCTCCTGCAACCCACTGCCAGTGAAAATGGAACTCAGGGTGACTGCATGCACACACACACGCACACGAACTCCATTTTTGCTGGCAGTGGGCTGCAGGAGGCCATCCTTTTCAAAGAAGAAAAGGAAGGAAGGAAGGAAGGAAGGAAGGAAGGAAGGAAGGAAGAGAGAGGGAGAGAAGGAAAGAAGGAAGGAAGGAAGAAGGGAAGGAGGAAGGGAAGGAAGGAGGGAGGGGAGGAAGGAAGGTAGGAGGGTGGGAGGGAAGGAGAGAGGGAGGGAAGGAAGGAAGGAAGGAAGGAAGGAAGGAAGGAAGGAAGGAAGGAAGGAAG